CCAGGCATCCCTGTTCTTTACTATTTCCCGGAGTTTCCTCAAGCTCATGTCCATCGAGTCTGTGATGGCATCCAACCATCTCATCCTCTGCTGCCCCTTCTCCTGCCTTCAGACTTTCGCAGCAACAGGGTCTTTGCTGTGATGAGTCGGGTCTTTGCTGCGATGAGTCAGCTCTTTGCATCAGGTGGCCAGAGTATTGGAGCTTCAGCTTCAGCATCAGTCCTTTCAGTGAATGTTCAGGGTTGATTTCCTTTAGGATTGACTGGTTTGATCGCCTTCCTGTCCCAGGGACTCTCAAGAGTGTTCTCTAGCACCACAGTTGAAAGCATCACTTCTTTGGTGCTAAGTCTTATCTATGATCCAACTCTCACATCTGTACCTGACTATTGTAAAAACCATAGCTTTGACTATATGGACCTTTGTTGGCAAAATGATGTCCCTGTTTTTTAATATGCTGTCTAGGTTTGTCATAGCTTTCCTTCCAGGGAACAAACGTCTTAATTTCGTGGCTGCAGTCACAGTCCACAGTGATTTTGCAGCCCAAGGAAATAATATCTGCTACTGCGTCCACTTTTTACCCATCTACTTACAATAAAGTGATGAAACCAGATGCCATGATCTTCGTTTCTTGAATGATGAGTTTTCAGCTGGCTTTTTCATTTCCTTTTCACCTTCCTCAAGAGACTCTTCAGTTCCTCTTCACTTTCTGTCATTAGAGTAGTTTCATCTGCATATTGGTGAATATGTTGCAATTGGTGAATATGTTGTTCAATAAAGTTCTTGGTGAAAATGATGAAAAATGTGTCTTCTGTTTTTGCTTTAAAACCACAGGAACTTTTTAGCCAACCCAGTACTATAAATTTGCTTTCTCAAAGAATTGTGAAAGGAAGTTTCTGAACCTGGAGTGGAAAGGACTGACATTCTTTGAAATATGGTGATGCTCACGGTTAATGCCTTTTATTTGTTTTTTCCCATTTATTTTTTATTAGTTGGAGGCTAATTACTTTACAATATTATAGTGGTTTTTATCATACATTGACATGAATCAGCCATGGATTTACATGTATTCCCCATCGCGATCCCCCCTCCCACCTCGCTCTCTACCCGATCCCTCTGGGTCTTCCCAGTGTACCAGGCCCGAGCACTTGTCTCATGCATCCAACCTGGGCTGGTGATCTGTTTCACCCTAGATAATATACATGTTTCAATGCTATTCTCTCGAAACATACCACCCTCGCCTTCTCCCACAGAGTCCAAAAGTCTGTTCTGTACATCTGTGTCTCTTTTTCTGTTTTGCATATAGTGTTATTGTTACCGTCTTTCTAAATTTCATATATGTGTTAATATACTGTATTGGTCTTTATCTTTCTGGCTTATTTCACTCTGTATGGTGGGCTCCAGTTTCATCCATCTCATTAGAACTGATTCAAATGAATTCTTTTTAATGGCTGAGTAATATTCCATGGTATATATGCACCACAGCTTCCTTATCCATTCGTCTGCTGATGGGCATCTAGGTTGCTTCCATGTCCTGGCTATTATAAACAGTGCTGCGATGAACATTGGGGTGCACGTTTCTCTTTCAGATCTGGTTTCCTCGGTGTGTATGCCCAGGAGTGGGATTTCTGCATCATATGGCAGTTCTAATTCCAGTTTTTTAAGAAATCTCCACACTGTTCTCCATAGCAGCTGTACTAGTTTGCATTCCCACCAACAGTGTGAGAGGGTTCCCTTTTCTCCACACCCTCTCCAGCATTTATTGCTTTTAGACTTTTGGATAGCAGCCATCCTGACTGGTGTGTAATGGTACCTCATTGTGGTTTTGATTTGCATTTCTCTGATAATGAGTTATGTTGAGCATCTTTTCATGTGTTTGTTAGCCATCTGTATGTCTTCTTTGGAGAAATATCTGTTTAGTCCTTTGGCCCATTTTTTGATTGGGTCATTTATTTCTCTAGAATTGAGCTGCAGAGCTGCTTGTATATTTTTCATGGATTGGAAGAATCAATATTGTCAAAATGGCTATACTACCCAAAGCAATCTACAGATTCAATGCAATCCCTATCAAGCTACCAATGGTATTTTTCACAGATCTTGAACAAATTATTTCACAATTTGTATGGAAATACAAAAAACCTCGAATAGCCAAAGTAATCTTGAGAAAGAAGAATGGAACTGGAGGAATCAATCTGCCTGACTTCAGACTATACTACAAAGCCACAGTCATCAAGACAGTATGGTACTGGCACAAAGACAGAAATATAGATCAGTGGAACAGAATAGAAAGCCCAGAGATAAATCCCCGAACCTATGGACACCTTATCTTTGACAAAGGAGGCAAGAATATACAATGGAAAAAAGACAACCCCTTTAACAAGTGGTGCTGGGAAAACTGGTCAACCACTTGTAAAAGAATGCAACTAGAACACTTTCTAACACCATACACAAAAATAAACTCAAAATGGATTTAAGATCTAAATGTAAGACCAGAGACTATAAAACTCCTAGAGGAGAACATAGGCAAAACCCTCTCTGACATAAATCACAGTAGGATCCTCTATGACCCACCTGCCAGAATATTGGAAATAAAAGCAAAAATAAACAAATGGGACCTAATGAAACTTAAAAGCTTTTGCACAACAAAGGAAACTATAAGCAAGGTGGAAAGACAGCCCTCAGATTGGGAGAAAATAAAAGCAATTGAAGCAACAGACAAAGGATTAATCTTTTCATTGTTCTTGAAAAATTGTTTGCAAGCCTTTTTTGAGGCCTAGGATCAGTGTTTTCTGGATCCTCAAAGAAAAGATTTACATTGGCTTCAGCCAGTTACCTATAAGCTCTACCAAGCAAGTAACCTGAAATTATGTTCATAGATTTAAGTGTTCTTTGATCACCTTGCAAATCCATGAGGTACAGTTTATAGTGTATAATATTTCCCTCTACACAGACACACACACAGAAACATGCAAACACACACACAGGCTGTGGTCAGTGTCAAGAAAACTTGTTTGCAATTCTCTTGTGAGGGAGTGAGGCACTTTTCAGTTCAGTTCAGTTGCTCAGTTGTGTCCAACTCTTTGTGACACCTTGAACTGCAGCACGCCAGGCCTCCCTGTCCATCACCAACTCCTGGAGTTTACCCAAACCCATGTCCATTGAGTCAGTGATGCCATCCAACCATCTCATCCTCTGTTGTCCCCTTCTCCTCCTGCCTTCAATCTTTCCCAGCATCAGGGTCTTTTCAAATGAGTCAGCTCTTTGCATCAGGTGGCCAAAGTATTGGAGGTTCAGCTTCAACATCAGTCCTTCCAATGAACAGCCAGGATTGATGTCCTTTAGGATGGACTGGTTGAATCTGCTTGCAGTCCAAGGGACTCGCAAGAGTCTTCTCCAACATCACAGTTCAAAAGCATCAGTTCTTTGGTGCTCAGCTTTCTTTATAGTCCAGCTCTCACATTCATACATGACCACTGGAAAAACTATAGCCTTGACTAGATGGAACTTTGTTGGCAAAGTAATGTCTCTGCTTTTTAATATGCTATCTAAGTTGGTCATAACTTTCCTTCCAAGGAGTACACGTCTTTTTATTTCATGACTGCAGTCACCATCTGCAGTGATTTTGGAGCCCAGGAAAATAAAGTCAGCCACTGTTTCCACTGTTTCCCCACCTATTTGCCATGAAGTGATGGGACCAAGATGCCATAATTTTAGTTTTCTGAATGTTGAGCTTTAAGCCAACATTTTCACTCTCCTCTTTCACTTTCATCAAGAGGCTCTTCAGTTCTTTTTCACTTTCTGTCATAAGGGTGGTGTCATCTGCATATCTGAGGTTTTTGATATTTCTCCCGGCCATCTTAATTCCAGCTTGTGCTTCATCCATCCACAGTGTTTCTCATGATGTACTCTGAATAGAAGTTAATAAGCAGGGTGACAATATACAGGCTTGATGTACTCCTTTTCCTATTTGGAACCAGTCTGTTCCATGTCCAGTTCTAACTGTTGCTTCCTGACCTGCATACAGATTTCTCAGGAGACAGGTTGGGTAGTCTGGTATTCCCATCTCTTGAAGACATTTCCACAGTTTATTGTGATCCACACAGTCAAAGGCTTTGATGTAGTCAATAAAGCAGAAATAGATGTTTTTTTCTGGAATTCTCTTGCTTTTACGATGATCCAGTGAATGTTGGCAATTTGATCTCTGGTTCCTCTGCCTTTTCGAAAACCAGCTTGAACATCTGGAAGTTCATGGTTCACATATTGTTGAAGCCTGACTTGGAGAATTTTGAGCATTACTTTGCTAGCGTGTGAGTTGAGTGCAATTGTTCAGTAGTTTGAGCATTCTTTGGCATTGCCTTTCTTTGGAATTACTTCCTGTTAACTCCTAATCTGATGGTGAAGCGCTCTGTAGTCACAGCTGTATTGAAAGTAGGGATCGGGGTAATTTCTTACTACACTCATTCCTTACTTTGGATGAATTTTGGTGTTTGTCTTTTATTTCCCTGCTATTCCACAAGATGTTGAAAACCCCAGCACAGTTTCTCATGGCACAGAGAATACCTTCAGAACGGAACCACCTTGTTCGAACTACTTAGTTTCTAGGTTCCTTTAATTCACTTACAAATGGCCTGCTTTTCCTTACTATTTTCAAAAAGATTCTTTTTATATTTTACCCAGTATTTTCAGTTGTTTTCTTCAGGAAAATGAGCCCAAATAGCCTAATCTGTTTTATTACTGGAAATGCATTGCCTTGCTTCTTTTTTTATTAAGCTGAAAAATAAGTAGTAACTCCTTTTCAACTTAGCAAGTTTCTGATGATATAAGTATTTTCGACATATATCTCATTGAGAGATCTTCAACAAATTCCTTTGTTTTTTTATTTCTTATACATGCAAATGTATTACCTATCAGTAGTAAAATAGTTCTTACATTAAACTTTATATTATTTCTCTTTTCTGATTTATTACAGGACTGACTTCTTTAGTGCTTAGAGTCTGAGAAAAATGGCAAATATGGATAGTGATTCTACGTATCTTCTTATCCCTGTGGGAGATCATGAAATAAATCCTGGACCTATGAATATCCAGTTTAATTCATCAGATATAAGATCTAAAAGGTAAATGTTTAAAATAAAATATTTGTTTCAAAATTAAGACTTTTAGTTATTAAAATAGAACTCATTATAACCAAATATATAGAGATTTTAGAATAAAATATCTAATTTCTTACAGGATCTGTATATTTGTATATAAAAGGAAATATATATGAATACATTTTGTCACTTATATTTGACTTTTTAGACTAAACTCCGTTATCTCTGTCAGGGATGGCTGAAGTAAGATTTATGAAGTAATATGCATGTGACTCATTTAACAAATACATATTGATTGTCTGATCTGTGCAACGTATTACATGAAGTCAGGCTTCCGCAGCAGCTCAGTGTTAAAGAATCCACCTGCCAATGTAGGAGATGTAGGTTCGATCCCTGGGTCAGGAAGATCTCCTGGAGGAGGAAATGGCAACCCACTCAAGTATTCTTGCCTGGAGAATTCAATGGACAGAGGATCCTGACCTGCTACAGTCCCAGAGGAAGCAAAGAGTCGGACACGACTGAGCGACTTCACTTCACTTCACTTCTCGTAGCTGTACATGATGACTGGGAAAACCATAGCTTTGACTAGAAGGACCTTTGTCAGCAAACTGATATCTCTCCTTTTTACTATGCTGTCTAGAGTTGTCATAGCTTTCTTTCAAGGAGCAAGCGTCTTGTAATTTCATGGCTGCAGTCACCGTCCACAGTGATTTTGGAGTCCAAGAAAACAAAGTCTGTCACTGCTTACATTGTTTCCCCATCCATTTGCCATAAAGTGATGGGACTAGATACCATGATCTCAGTTTTTTGAATGTTGAGTTTTAGGTCAGCTTGTTCACTCTCCTCTTCACCTTCATCAAGTGGCTCTTTAGTTTCTCCTGGCTTTCTGCCCTTGGAGTGGTGTCTTTCCATGCTGTGCTGTGCTTAGTCACTCAGTCATCTCTGACTCTTTGCGACCCTATGGACTGCAGCCTGCCAGGCTCCTCTGGCCATGGGGATTCTCCAGGCAAGAATACCGGAGTGGGTTGCCATGCCCACCTCCAGGGGAACTTCCCAACCCAGGAATCGAGCCCATGTCTGCCTCATTGCAGGCAGAATCTTTACAGTCCAAGCCACCATGGAAGCCTGTCATTTGCATATCTGAGATTATTGATATTTCTCCCAGCAATCTTGATTCCAGCCTCCGTTTCATCCAGCCCAGCACTTTGTGTGATGTACTCTGCATATGTTAAACAAGCAGGGTGACAATATACAGCCTTGATGTACCCCTTTCGCAGTTTGGAACCAGTTCATTGTTCCCCGTCTGGTTTTAACTGTTGCTTTTTGATCTGCATAAAGGTTTCTCAAGAGGCAAGTTTGGTGGTCTGGTATTCTCATCTCTTTCAGAATTTTCCACAGTTCGTTGTGATCCACACAGTCAAAGGCTTTAGTGTAGTCAATGAAACAAAAGTAGATGTTTTTCAGGAACTCTCTTGCTTTTTCTAGGCCCCAAAGGAGGTAGGCAATTTGATCTCTGGTTCCTCTGTCTTTTCTAAATCCAGCTTGTACATCGGGAAGTTCTCAGTTCACATACTGTTGAAGCTGAGGTTGGAGAATTTTGAGCACGATCTTGCTAGCATATGAAATGAGTGCAATGGTGTGGCAGTTTGAATATTCTTCAGCATTGCCCTTCTATGGGAGTGGAATGAAAACTGACCTTTTCCAGTCCGGTGGCCACTGCTGAGTTTTCCCAATTTGCTGGCATATTTAGTGCAACACTTTCACGGCACCATCTTTTAGGATTTGAAATAATTCTGCTGGAATTCCATCACCTCCACTAGCCTTGTTCATAGTAAAGCTTCCTAAGTCCCACTTAACCTCACACCCCAAAACGTCTGACTCTAGGGGAGAGAGCACACCATCGTGGTTATCTGGGTCATAAAGACCTTTTTTTGTACAGTTCTTTTGTGTATTCTTGCCACTCTTCTTAGTCTCTTCTTTTTCTGTTAGGTCCATACCGCTTCTGTCCTTTATTGTGCCCATCTTTGCATGAATTGTTCCCTTGGTATCTCTAATTTTCTTGAAGAGATCTCTAGTCTTTCCCATTGTTTTCCTCTATTTCTTTGCACTGTTCCCTTTAGAAAGTCTTCTTATTTCCCCTTGCTCTTCTTTGGAATTCTGTATTCAGATGGGTATATCTTTCCTTTTCTCTTTGCCTTTCTCTTCTCTTCTTTTCTCAGCTATTTGTAAGGACTCCTCAGTCATCTGTTTGCCTTCTTGCATTTATTTCTCTTGGGGATGGCTTTGGTCACTGTCTCCTGTACAGTGTTGCAAATCTCTGTCGGTAGTTCTTCAGGCACTCTGTCTATCAGATCTAATCCCTTGAGTCTATTTGTCACTTCCACTGTATAATCATTAGGGATTTGATTTGGGTCATACTTGAATGGTCTAGTGGTTTTCCCTACTTTCTTCAACTTAAGTCTGAATTTTGCAATAAGGAGTTCATGATCTCAGCCACAGTCAGCTCCTGGTCTTGTTTTTGCTGACTGTATAGAGTTTCTCCATCTTCAGCTGGAAAGAGTATAATCAATCTGATTTGGGTATTGACCATCTGGTGATGTCCATGTGCAGAGTCATGTCTTGTGTTGTTGGAAGAGGGTGTTTGCTATGACCCATGCATTCTCTTGGCAAAACTGTGTTAGCCTTTGCCTTGCTTCATTTTAAATTCCAAGGCCAAACTTGCCTGTTACTCCAGGTATCTCTTGACTTCCTCCTTTTGCATTCCAATTCCCTATGATGAAAAGGACATCTTTTTTTGGGTGTTAGTTCTAGACTTCCCTGGTGGCTCAGAGGGTAAAGCGTCTGCCTACAATGCAGCAGACCTGGGTTCAATCCCTGGGTCAGGAAGATCTCCTGGAGAAGGAAATGGTAACCCACCCCAGTATTCTTGCCTGGAAAATCCCATGGATGGAAGAGCCTGGTAGGCTATAGTCCATGGGGTCACAAAGAGTCGGACACGACTGAGCGACTTTACTTTCACTTTCAGTTTTTCTAGAAGGTCTTGTAGGTCTTCATAGAACTGTTCAGCTTTGGCTTCTTTGGCATCAGTGGCTGGGGCACAGACTTGGATTACTGTGATAGCAAATGGTTTGCCTTGGAAATGAACCAAGATCATTAAGTCAGTTTTGAGATTGCACCCAAGTACTGCATTTCAGACTCTAACGGCACCTATAAAGGCTACTCCACTTCTTCTAAGAGATACTTGCCCACTGTAATAGATATCATGGTCATCTGAACTAAGTTCGCCCATTCCCATCCACTTTAATTCACTGATATATAAAATGTTGATGTTCACTTTAGACATCTCCTGTTTGACCACTTCCAATTTACCTTGATTCATGGACCTAGCATTCCAGGTTCCTATACAATATTATTCCTATACAATAATATTACAGCATCAAACTTTACTTTCACCACCAGACACAGCCACACTGCCCGGTGTTTCTGCTTTGGCTCAGCCTCTTCATTCTTTCTGGAGCTATTTCTCCACTCTTTTCCAGAAGCATATTGGGCACCTACCAACCTGGGGAGTTCATCTTTCAGTGTCATACCTTTTTGCCTTTTCATACTGTTCATGGGGTTCTCAGGGCATGAATGCTGAAGTGATTTTCCATTCCCTTCTCCAGTAGACCACATTTGTCAGAACTCTCCACCATGACTCATTCATCTTGGGTGACACTACATGGCATGGCTCATAGTTTCATTAAGTCACACAAAGCTGTGATCCATGTGATCAGTTAGCTTAGTTTTGCGCAATTGTGGTTTTCATTCTCTCTGCCCTCTGATGGATGAGGATAAGAGGTGTGTGCAAGCTTCCTGGGATGGGACTGGCCATGGGGAAAACTGGGTCTTGCTCTGGTGGGCAAGCACATGCTCAGTAAGTCTTTAACCCAATTTTCTGCTGATGAGTGGGGCTGTGTTCCTGCCCTGTATTTTGACCTGGGACCGAACGATAATTGGGATAATGGCAACCTCCTTTAAGAGGACTTGTGCCAGCATGCTGCACCTCCCAGGACTGCTGCTGTAAGTGCCTCAGCCCCACGGCATGTCATTGTTGACCCAGGCTTCCACTGGAGACTCCCAAACACTCACAGGCAAGTCTGGCTCAGTCTCTTGTGGGACCACTGCTCCTTTTTCCTGGGTCCTGGTGCACACAAGGTTTTGTTTCTGCCCTCTGAGTCTCTGTTTGCCCAGTCCTGTGGAAGTTCTGTAATCAGATCTCACTGATCTTCAAAGTCAGTTCCCCTGGAGATTCTCAATCCCTTTTGTCAGATTCCCAAGTTGGGAAGTCTATTGTGGAGCTTAGAGCTTTCTCAGGAGTGCCAGAACTTCTTCGGGGTAATTGCTCTCCAGTTTGTGGATCGCCCCCCTGGCAGCCCTATAGTGGGGTTAATGGCGACCTCCTCCAAGAGGACTTCTGGCACAAACAAAATAAAGCAGCTATGGAAATACTTAGGTGATGCTATGGTGTGATTTCAGATAAGTCCCTGTATTGTTAAGAACGTGAGTTTTCTGAGCTGTGCCAGACTCAGAATGCCATCAGCCATTCAGCAGCAGTCCTATTTTTAAAAGTCATTTGTTGTAAATGTTGTATGTTTAGACAATGAAATTTCTCTGGACCATATGTTGGGGGAAAAAAAATGAATTTTTCTCTATCCCTTTCCTGAGAACAAAGAAGATAAAGAGAAGAGTGAGCAGGCCTGAACATTCCTCGTTTCTTTTTACTTTAACTGCTCTGAACTCTGCATGTCTGTAAGTGTTTGCTTTTCTGCCCCCTAACTCTACAGGAGCTACACTTTACACCTATTTTTCTTCGATTCTATGCTAAATACATCCTGTATCTGGTGATTGCCCTTACAACACCCTTCAGAAAGAAGGCCACTGAGTCACTGAACTGCCAGGCTCAATGGATGGGTTACTGAGCCAGTCTATGACTGACTTTGAAGCAATGCAAGAGAAAGGAATCAAGATCCTAACACCCTTGTTTCTCATCACTGACTCCTGACTGGGAGGCCTCAGGTTATATCAGCCCCTAGATTCCTCATAGACAGGGGGCTGTTTTTGAGGCATGAGCCTACTTTCTGCCCCTCTCTGCTGGCTGAGAATTAAAGCCACCTTTCTACTGCCTGCCCACTCTATCTTTGTATTTTTTGTTTACCTTCGGTGGGCAGAGAAGGCCAAGATTTTGGCCAGCAACATGATGGAACTTGCCTGAACACCTGCACAGGTGCCCTTGGGCTCCCTGATGGCCGTGACCTTCATGAGGGGCAGGTATCAGACAAGAGACAGTGGGAAGACAAGGACAATGGGAGTTTTCTTCATAAAATCTGGCTAAGATATGCACAATGCACCACCCTTCACCTTCAAGGCAGATTCTGAGCTGTGTGAATTCAGCTTGAGAGCAATTTTTATGGCCTTGGGGTCTCACCACCTAGGAGAGCCACTCTATCAGTTTAAGAGTCCATCTGCCAGTTTCAAAAAGGTTCCCCATTAAAATCCTACAAGAAGACTGAGAGTGGTTGAAGAGGAAAAGTTAAAATTTTACATGAC